ATTCCCTGCAACTGCCCCAAATCTCCTGCTCAGCAAAGCAGGCCACCTTTGGTTGAAAGCCCACGGAAGGAGGGAGTGCAGCCTGCTGACTCACAGTGTCCTCTACCTACCTTCGTGCCCTGCCTTTGCAGGCATCTAATAATTTATAAGGAGAGAAGCTGGGGGCTGTTGATTCATTCTCAGGACTTCCTCAAGCTGATTCAGGGCATGTCCAGTTTAGGCTGATGCTCTGAGTACGTCCACCTTAATCATCATGACAAAATCTTTGGGTTCTGAACTTTTGTTCTAGTAAGGCAACCAGTTAGTTTCTCCAAATACGAAACAGCAGCATCCCTTGCATGGAAAAAGACCTTGATCAGTAAAGAATTAAATTAACTCAGTAATTTCACTGAGAATGGTGTCCTTCCAATTTGGTAAAATTGGCTGGAAGGTTTAAAAATAAAGTTAAATCAGATCCAGGTAATTTAAATGACATTTAGACAAATATGGACTATATAAGTTAAAAATTTTTATAGAGAGCAATCTTTTGACACTGTTGGTAGATTAAAAACAAAAAACCCATCACAGAACTATTCTCTCAAGTTGGCTGAGCACTACATAAATAAAAAGTTATTTCACTCTCACTTCATTCTGAGTTTCCTGGATACATCTGCCCAGGGATCGGTGAACACAACTGTACAACTTGTGGAAGCCATTCAAAGCAAACAGGTGAGAGTCAAAGAAGGAAAAAACTTCTATCACTTGATTAGATGGTGAGGTATTGCTTGGAGAAAAAGAGCGAAAGACCCCAAAATACAAAGCATTGCTATTGCTTGCTGGGGTCTGAGCCACTGATGAGATAAATGGTAGTTAAGTTTGACCATAAAGCTCCCTCACCTGTCCAGATAATTTTATTCACTCCATCAACATTTAAGTTAATTGACAAGAGCCAGTGTGCCCTGTGCTGTGAAGCATGCTGGGGAAAATGACAATGAATAGATACTGATTCTTAGCCCAGGAGGGACCAGGGCTGGGAAAGCACACTTACACAATGCTGTCACCATTGCGACACTGGAAGTGTGTAGAAAGGGGAGGGGAAGTGGGTGGTCAGAGAAGTCTGCACCCTGAAGGTGACACTTGAACTCATACTTGGGAGAGGAGTTTGACTCGAGTCCAAAAAACACATGCTTCAGGGTTAATCCATGTGACGCTTGCCGAAAATGCTGTCACAGTAGCAGATCTTCATGCTCTGTCTGTTATCAATCTCACTCTGCACAACAGTGAACGTGAAGGAAATGTTTTTCATCTGGGACACCTTCAAATGGTTTACTTTCTGAAGTTCCAGAAACATGCCTTTACCAAAATATCTGTGATGGGGAGTGGTAAAGATCAGATCATCAAGCTTTGTGACAATAATGTCACAAAGAGACTCCAGTATTCTTCAATTGCTGGTCATATTATCTTAATAATGATAATATGACAATTTAATTGTCATATGCAACAATTACCCATTGTCTGAGGTAGACTATCAGGATTTTGTATCATCCCTAGATCCAGCTTGTGTATTTTAATGCATGATAGAAACATGTGGTTATGTAGCTCATGTGAGCTGCTTAAAAAGAGAGATAAAGGCAATTGTTGCATGTCTCTCCAGACATGATAAAACTATTAACTCACAGAGGAATTTAAACAAGCATTAAATAGCTACAGTAATAATAATAATGGCTACCACTTATCAAGCAATTACTAGAGTGAGACTGTAGTCTAAACATTTCATAAACAGTAACTCTAATTGTTATGGCTCTATGGGTAGGTACATATACCTATACATATATGGATAGCAATCATTTATAAAGATATACATTGATACCTTCTTACAGAATCAGAGTTTAAATACCCTGCTCAAAGTTGCATAGCAAGTAGGTGGCTGTGGCAGAGCACGTGTTCATAACTATCCTAAATCATGTGGAAAAAGTAAATCAAACAAGCTTAAATAAATACTTCCTATAATATGTATTACAACCAAAATGAATGAATCTAGTGGTCAAAAAACACATAAGAATAAAAAAGAGACTACAATACAGCAAAGTAAAACATCCTGGTTCCTCCATGTGGAGAAGGCCCAAGTCTAAGAGCCTCAGGTGTGTGCTGCTTCCCGGTGGTATGGGTGCTGCACATCTCCTTACAGGGAACACAATGGAGAACTAGGTTTGCATAATGGGCCTTTCTTCTTTGTGCCACCTGACCAGTGTTGCATCACTTCCTTGTGCAGCAGGGCTCAGTGAAGAATGGGATTAACTTCTGTTTCCATCAAGAAAAAATAAAAGCAAATAACCCAAATGGGATGATTCTCCTGACTCACTCTTCCAGTCTTGATTAACTTTCCACTTAAAATGAAGGAGACAGACTTGAGCTCAAGCTCTGAGCACACATGACTTCACCAGCCCCAGCACTGCCAGTCATGGCTAAGTCTTTGCCATTAGCTTAACACTACCCATAAGAAACATTCTAACCTTCTCTCTATTGTGTGGGTCAACAGCAGAAATTTCATGAAAACACTTAGCTGAAGAAAGCAGCTGAGTTGTCATCTTTTAGTATAAAACACCCAATCAGACGCAGGCTGAAATGGGTGTGCACATCTCAGGAACAGTATTAACAACTTATCTCTCTCCTTTTCCCAGAGCCCAAAGAGCATTTCCATTCTTCTGGCCCAAGAAGTGACAGCCTCTTAGTCACCCCCTAAAACAAAGACCTTGTTCGTAGAACAATATGATATTGAATGAGCTCATTGGGACAGTTTGATGACTTACTTTGTGGATAAGGGACACTTGAGAATTATTGAATGGGTCTTCTATCACGAAAGTATGTACACTTCATGATCACTTAGCTCCTCTGCCTGAACTCATTTAATATTTAAGCACATAATTATATTTAACTTTCAGTCTTTGATTTAACTTTAGGGGAACTTTTTCTTAATTTCTACATCAGATCCATCCAACCCAGGCTCTTTATATCTCAGCATCTTGAAAATGTACACAATAGTATATATTATTCCTTTTACCTTAAAGTGCATTTCTAGCACCACAATGATACTCCCATTCCACCCTTGGTCATGACCATTATTCCAGACTGTGGGTTAGGGACTGAGTCCATTTCTGCATTCCACAGAACTCTCAAACCTACCAAAAACAAATGGTTTGGATACACATGGTCACTAAAACAAATTCAGATGATGACTTTCGTTTCATAATGACCTCTTCATTATTCAACGTGTTTGTGATCATCAACATCAAAAGCACTTGTCACCCAATCCTGTGTATGAAACATGACTCTCAGCACCAACACATCATTATGAGAGCAAAGGCGAAGATCATGCTCAGAGCTGCAGCCAGGGCCAGACTGTCCTGGAAGGTGGTGGGAGCAGAGAGGTCAACAAGGAAGAGTTCTGACTACTCTAACTGGGAAATAATAAAGACTTGGATCCAGGCCTTGGCAGAAGTGATCGTGACCAAGATCCAGATGTGGGATATTTCACGGGGAAAGGAGAGCATGACACATTTCAGCAATGTTGTGAATAAACAACAAAGAAGGTTGAAAAGAACAGTTGCTTGTCTGCAACTGACTGACAGTGAAACCCAGCATTTATGATGAGGAAGCTGAGCACACAATGAGGCACCTGGTGGACCAGAGTCACAGTTTCTGGTGGGCAGTAAGAAAAGATTCAGCTTTGGAGATGAGTATCAGCAACACAGGGAAATAATAGGGAATATCTGACCTCAGGGTTCAACGAGTGATATTTATATACAATAATCACTCTTACTCATGTACACAATTCATTTTTCATGGGGTTGATAACTGGCCATATTTCATTGTAATTACTGATTTATGTAGATCTCTTTACTAGGCAATCTTGTCCTAAGAGCAGCAAATTGGCTCATGTTCAGCTTAAAGTCATCTCAGGGTATTAGAATTAAAAAAATTTTTTTCTGCTGTCTACATAAACTGTATCTAAAGGTTGAAATAAGGAGATTAACCGGTGTTGCCAAACAAGGACTTTTTCCTATTTTTGTTACAGGGGGCGTCTGGCAAGATCGCTGGGCAGAGGGGAGGGACCTCCGAGGTGGAGGTGGCGTGAGAGCCTGCCCAGGCCCAGGAGAAGGGAGTGGCCAGGATGTGCCAGAGGTGTTGAGACTGAAATTGGAACCGGAGCCAGCTAGATTTCCATATCTCCTGGGAAGAGTAAACAAACTAGCAGGGCCTGTGACACAGCAGGAGGAAACTTGAACAGAGTATGCGCCAGGTCAGTGAAATGTTTGGGCAAAGGAAAAGACCCTCCTAACTTGCTTCTGGAGTGCATAGGATTTTGGACTGGAATTTTTCAATGGAGGACAGGCAGAGACTCGGCCCTTTTCCCCTTCTGGTTTGGGCTGAGCTTTCTTGGCCAGCAATCCCTAGAGACCTTGTGCTCTGGTATCAACCCCAGGTCCCTCCCAGTGTGAGAAGTGGTGGTGGTGTTGGTGACTGGAGCTACAGTGAGTGGACATACTCGGCTAGGCATGGATGCACTGGCGAGCCCATGCCAGAGGGACAGGCACAGGCACTGGGCTGGCAGGCAGCATGCAGAAGAAAAGGCAACACACAGCAAATAGGATACCGGCACATATAGACTCCAGAAAGATTCCTGAAGCCAGACTGTGAGCGAGAACCAGCTAAGCTGTCTGATGATCAGGCTGCAGCTGCCTGTGTTTCCCAAAGGACAGCATTTTAAATGGCAGAAGAAATTCCAGACACAGCTTTAAATTAATCTGGCAAAAGGTGGCGGGGTTATTTGTCTTTAGGAATTTTAGAGGGAATGGGCTCTGAGGCAAAAGCCTGTCATTCTTCCAAAATTGTGTAACTGTCAAATAAACCACCCCTTTCCTTTTCGCCAAATCTCTGTCTCTGGAGTTTGTCTATTGGCCAGCAGGCAACAGAACCCCCAATTGCTGTTTAGTAACATTTTCGGGAAGAAAAATACATTCTAGGAGTTCCCCCAACAACTGAATCACAGCTGCAAGTTTGCACTGAAGGCTGAGAAATCATGCGCCTGCCTTTTTGAGCCATTAGGGGGGAAGATGAACACAGAAGAAGGCTGGGAACAGCTCCTGCTAGGTTACCGGTAAGTCAGAAGCCCTGGAGCCATAAGCAAATTTAAACCTGGCCACCAGCACTTACTAAAATGCTTCCCTGGGGAAGTCTGTTTATTTCTTTGTGTTTTAGGTTTTTTATCGATGAAATGATATTTGCCTTAAAAGGGATCTGATGAAGTTTAAATGAGATAGTGTTTAGCACAGTGGCTAAAACAGTGCTAACTATTCTTAAACTATTGCATGACCTAGCTTAAGGAGGCCATGGACAGGTAAAACAGTCAGTGACAAAGTCCTTTTAAATTAGTGGCTAAGTCTGAACAATAAGATTGAAATATAAACCTCAGTGGAAAATATTGCTATTTCTACATTAATGGAAATATCTGAAAACAGGAAAACATTTTGTCATTTTTTGGTAATGACAAAATTAAGAATTTTTAAACATTATTTGTTGCTTAGTTACAGAATCATTAAGGATATCTCATCTACTACTGTTGGATGACACTCAAACAAGTAATTACCATATATGTTCATTTTAATCTAATGACAGATTTCAATAAACCAATCTATATCTGTTCTGACCACAGGTTCATCAATTTCACCGACTATAAATTAATATCTTTATCTTGCAAATAACGATGATAGGTAGCCTAGATTGGCATTTATCCTGGAGTCTAGATTTGATTCCTGGCTCTGACACATAAAATGGTTTGTGTAAAATAGGGTCATGGTGAAGATTAGAGAAAATTATGCACTACCATGGTACAATTTATATTCTAAGGTGTTTACTATTGGCTGCCCCCTCTTCTCCATTGGTAAAAGAATCCCTGTTTTGTTCAGGTAGCAGGTAGAAGTCTTTGTCCTACATAAGGCAGACCCACACAGTGCTGGGACAAGCATCATGATTCGTCCAATGTGGTAATCCCAGTCAGCTTCGCCAGTGATTGGCACATGACCCTATTCCAATTAAAGGAAGGCAAGATAAAGCTTGCCAGGACATTTGGCAAAATCTTTTATCCAGAAGAAAGACCTCCTCTGGGCCTCCTTCCTTCCTGACTCCTAAGTAAAGCAAAGATGCTTAGAACTGAAGTGGTCATCTTGTGATCATGCAGTGACAAGTTGAAAGATAGGAACACCAGGGTCCTTGAGCTTCTAAACCCATCGGAAACCTCCCATCTCCAGGCTGGGGGTTAGGAAAACTCATTAAATGTCTTTATTCTTTCAGTCATTTTTCATTATTTATAGCAAAATTATCCTAAAATAACACATATTTCAAATCACTAGATAGCAAAAATTACTTCTATTTATCAACCATACCATTCTACCTGTGAACAGCATGGATGTTACTATATTGTGAGGATGTGTCAAGAGGAATTTGGGATTTAGAAATGAAAGTCACTGATCTCAGAACCCTACTCAATCCTCTCCAATTTACGTATTTTTTAAGTAAAGCAGTTGAAAAATTGCAAAAGATAATTTGATTTCAAATTTCTTTGCCCCCTTAAGAAAATGATAAGAAGCCTTGAAATAGCCAATAAAATGATTAACAGAAAAGAAGCTGAAATAAACAGATTTTTAGATATTTAAAATATGATAGAATCTTCATTCTCAATCATAATTTTGACCTTTCTTAAAGTTCAAACATTTAAAATTGTTAATTAAAAAAAGTTGGTGGTTTTTTTGTTGAAGCCAGTCAAGAGAAAGACAAATATCATATGAATTCACTCATATGTGGAATCTAATGAACCGAACTAACAAGCAAAATACAGATTCATGGAGAGCAGGCTGACAGCTCTGGATTGGAAGCAGGGGTTGGAGGATGAAGTGTCTGAGTAGAAAAGAAAAAGAACTCAAGGACACAGACAACAGTGTGGTGATTGCAGGGGGAGAGGAGTATAAGGGGGATAAATGGTAATGGAAAAAATACATAAAAATATATAAAAATTTAAAAAATTAAAGAATAGAGAGTATTAAAAATAAAAAGGAAATGGGCCAGGTTTTCAAACATTTTCAAAACTGATATCTCCATTGGCTTAGACTAGGATTAGCTTTCCCATGATGATAAGGACTAAGGTTTATCAGTAAATGGAATGTGAAATCACAAGACAAGACTAAACTGTCTCTTATGTTCCTATTTTCTTGCAATTGTATTCAGTCAAATAAAATAGAAAGAGGACAGGTTGTCTTGCACTCTCAACCTGGAAGAAAAGATGAGAACAGACCTCAGGGCCACCATCAAAGGCGGGAAGGAAACAGAACACTCAGTGTAGCCCATCGCAAGGCTTGGCTTCTCTCTCAACTCCCCAAGGAAGCTAAAATTCTCACTAGAGAAGCGGAAGATTATGTTTGGAGAGTTGAAATAGTACAAGTGATACTACAGCTAAGGCCATTTGTCATTCAATTGCACGGCCTCAGTTTTAAAGGAGATTTGTTTAAAATGCAGCTTTTAAAAACTCAAAGTTGAAAAGTAAAGTTTTTAAAAAAGAAAAACTGTGTGCCCTGACCAGTGTGGCTCAGTTGGTTGAGCACTGTCATGAAAAGTGAAAGGTTGCAGGTTCAATTCCTAGCCAGGGCACATACCTGGGTTGCAGACCAGTCTTTGGTTGGGGTGCATGCGAGAGACAACCCATCAATGTTTCTCTCACACATCAATGTATCTTTCCCTCTCTTTCTCTCTCCTTTTCCCTCTCTCTAAAAGTAAGTAAAATTTTTTAAAAAAGAAAAACTGTAATTTGTCTTCTAATTGGTGCTCTAACTTATAAATTTTAAAGTAATTGCTTATAATTTGCCAAAGTCATAGGCAATCTATTTACGTAGAGCAACTCTTTTTTAGTTTTAAAATTGTTTAAGCCTATCACTGGCCTCCTGCCTAGCTGCAGGCATTAAGTAGAGGTGAATGGTAACAACACCAACGAAATGTTCCAGACAGATCTTTTAACAGCATTTTGGACACTTACTCCTTTTTTATTTCTACATGGTTTAATTGAAATCTACCCAAACCTAGGAAAGTGTCCTTTGCCTGTATGATCATATGTTATAAAAACCTCCAGAATGTCAGGAATTTCCATAAACACCATATCTCCCTGTGCAGAAACAAAAGCTCTTCAGATCAAGAGACAACCCTGTTCACCTCCACTGAGTTAGATACAGTCACTTTATTGTAAAAAACACAATAGAAAAAACCTGATAGGCTGTGTAGTGTGAAAACTTTTTCTTACTCAGAATACTGAAAAGTGAGCTATTCTAAGAAACTGACCAAACTCAGCAGTCCAGTCCCCACTTATCAGTCAAGTTCAATAATGTACAATTCGACCTCCCTCAGTCCAGCTTTAATGGTGTGGGAGTGATAACTGACAAATATTATGCTGTTTACATAAACCCCATTTTTCAAGGGGTTTCATTTGGAAGGTATGCAAAACCCTTCACATATGACCCCTAAAGACAAAGTGTCAGGTTTGTTACTTTCCTATAAGGAACTGAGGGAAGGACATAAACAAGTTCACTCACAGAAAAAAAAAAGAGAAAAAAAAAGAAGGGGGAAAAAAGCCTAATCTTGTATTTGTGTAATTGAAGTGTTTTATTGATTTCCCTAACTTCCTGCATAAATATGTATCACATTCTAATGAAGTTTTACTAAAGTATTGCCATAGTTAATTTAACACCCTTTCCTTTTCATGGCTGCCAAAATACATATTTACCTGTTTAAGGATAAACTTAAAGAAGTCAGTCTAGTGTTCTTACACTTAAGAAGAAATCTTTAACAGCAACTGAATTGTATATTTCCAAAATGTTGTTGTGCTTGTGGCATTAGCTGAGAAGTCCTGAAAATTTCAAAGCTTTCTTTGACTGCTAACAACTCTGCACTCTGTGACTGATTAAAACAGCAGAGGCAGTTGGAGCTGTATATCAAATTAGAGTTGATAAAAGCACTTAATGTAGATTTGAATGCCTTCTCAAAAAAGATTTCAGCTCTCTTAAATTGACACGACAACAAACTCTTACAGCAGCATAAAAAGTACAAGCTGAAATTTTAAGGCTTTGGCTTAAATTTCCATATGCGGCTCATCAAATGACTGAACAGTAGGAAGGAATTAAACCCAAATCAGTCTCATTACAGAGTCTGAGATGCTGGCAGAATATAAACTTCCAGTCTGAGCATCTGGAGTTTTGAGTGACTAACAATTAAATGCTTGTGTTTGTATGTTCTGTGAAAGAGAAGAAAAGTGTTTGTAAAAATATAGGTGAGATATATGATTAAACTTAACTTATAGAAATATATGATCACACACACACACACACACACACACACACAACCCTTCTCTTTAATCTCAGAAATATACGGAAGAGTGAGGGGACCCCTCAAAATGAAGGATAACTGACTTTATATTAGCCCCAGGTCAAAATTCCAATGAACATGGCAACTCTTCCCAACTTTCTGATGTAAAGAATGTCTATCTGAAACACTTGCTAACCCAAATCCTGACATCTGGTTAAGTGTGTCAGTGTAAGTAACTTACATTTCCTCTTCTCTGTCACCTATCCTGCTAGGTGGCATATTCTAAAATGTTCTTACAGGACTTGGCCTGCAAACACCAGGCTTTCTAATAGTTTTCTGATACAATGAAAGTATAAATCTATAAAGTTAAAATTGACAGAATCTATCAAACACATCATCCCAAATAAAATTCTCTAGGGCACACAGTCTCTGAAATACCACTGGCTTCTCTCCTTGACGTTTTTTAAGTCCTGGGAACTTCCACATTAATATTCCTGAATTCTAGCTCTAACAAGGAAGGAAGGGAAGCTCTGAGAGCCTGGACTGGAGCAGGTAGGTCTCAGTCAGCCTTGATACACCCAAAGCTGCGAGTCTAATAGTGCACAGTAGATGCTCAGGAAAGCAGTACTGAATAGGGTTTGCCTTGCTTCTCTGACACTGTTGGGTACCAAGGCATTTTGGAGCAATAACCAAGAAAAGCTGACACTAAGATAGTAAGTTTTTGGGTAATATCTCACATTGAAAAGTAAGCAAAGA